AGTATATATATATAATATATATATATATATATATATATATAGATGCCTAAATTTACTTGTTTATTTAATTTATTTTTAGGATAACTGGGTTGACCTTGTGCCTGAGAATAAATGGGATGTCATTGATTGGGCAGCATGTGTTAATGAAGATAAGCTGATTATCTGTTACATGCATGATGTTAAGGTCAGTAAACTTAATCAGTTTTCTATCTTTTTTTATAATTTTTTTAGTTGAAATAGATTATTAAACTTCCATTATGGTATTTTCAAGTATAATGAACTGCTGTCAGTATTGAATTTATAATTGTTATTAGAAAGTCAAACAACTATGTAGTTCTTACAGTACTAATTAACATCTACAGTTGAAATACCCTATACATTTTTTTTACAAATAAATGTCAGTTTTTAAACATAGAGGTGGATAGCTAAATTTTTGAATAAAGTAGTGAATGATTACTTCCAGGAATGATTTATTACAAAATGAATACAATTACTGTTAATAATTGATAATAATGTAAGGATAGGCATCAAAAAATTTTAATTTGTCATTTTTAATTTATATATTCCAGCTTTAAATAAGATTGTGAATTGTGTTGATTTTTGTTTTCTCATCTTTATTTCATCAAAAGATTATGTGAAATCCAACAAATACAAAAAATATTCTTCACTAAAATATACAGTAAGTGTATCATGTTTGTGTAATTTTGGATATGAATACAATTTGAAATTAATACTATGTTAATGGGTTTCTGTTTATTATACTTATTATTATTATTATACTTATTTTTCAGAACATTTTACAAATTAATGACCTTAAGACTGGAGAAAAAATCACTACTCTTCCTCTAGAGGTTGGCACTATAATAGGTTTCTCTGGAAAAAAGAAAGATAAAGAGGTCAGATAATGTTTTTGTTTAATATACTGTTTGTATGATACTTGCAGTAAATAGAGTTGAAATGTAATACGCTTGTTTCTGAACCTGAGAATTCAATTGTATGTAAGATTAAACAGGTTCATTTGTTTTTAAGAAACTTACACACAACTAGTAGTTTTTTCTTTTAAACTATGTAAAACAATTTAATGGAATTTGCTAAGTAAAATTTTAAGAAATTAATCTTTATACTTTCATTTTTGTGTAGTTTCGAGAATTCTCACTTGTGTGCAACATACACTGATATTTTTTAGAATCAATTTTTCTGCCCAACCCAAAGTATAAGTTTATATTTGCTAAAAATCTATCATCCCTTTAAAATATAATTATCCATGTCTTGTTTGTATTTCTTTTTCCTTCTGTTTCTTTTAGTATCACATGATCTGGTCTGAGAAATTATTAATGAATACCAGCTTTGAAAATAGATGTAGTCAACATATAAATACCATATAATAAAGCCAGTTATTAACACTATGCAACAATACAGAGTGAATAAAGTGGTGTGAGAAGAAAACAGAACCTAATGGAAAGTTTTAGAATATTTAGGAATTAACTATAGATCTGGTAATTTTTCTATACTTTCTTTAGATGTTCTTTTCAATTATGAAAATGATTTTATGTAACACATTTGTTTGAAAGTTATAAAAATCTAAGGGAAGACATCAGGCAAGCTTTATTAAGTTTAGAAAGTATGATAGATTATAACAAAATGTTTTGATGGCCCAAGTCCTTAGTTATCAAATATAATTGTAAAGTTTATTTGTATTCAAACAATGTAGGTAAGTAAAAGAAGCTTAATATTTATTGAAAAACTGTTGAATTTAAATTCATCTCAAATAAGAATACTGCTAATATAAAATATTGTTATCTGGTCTGACCTATCACTATTTTGAAAATGCAGGTCCTAGATCTCTGATATATTTTAGTAAGAGCTTGTATTTGTTTTCTTTTTATAGCTAATAGTGCAATCTGCAAAATAAAGTGTCAAAAAACTTATGGTAATGAAACAGTCAAATTTGTACTGACTGTGTATCTGAAGTGGAACTTTTCTGATCAAATATGAAAAAATTTTGATACTAAAACAAAAAGAAATATTTCTAAGGTTTTTAAAATAGTTTCTCACAACAAAATTTTGGATATTTCACAACATAAAAATATTATTAGAAAGTGAATCAACTTATACAAATTTTGTAACTGAAATTGGATACTATTTAGTAAGTTTGTTCTATGTTTCATGCAAGTTGGTTAAGTATTTCTACTGTGAGAAGGGAAAAAAAAACCAGGGATATCAGTGACACCTCACCCTGTCTGAAAGGTTTAATTTTAACTACTTCAACAAGGTGAAAAATAAGTAATAAATTTGTGTGAGAAAACCACTCCATTGGTTTTTAAATATTCAAAAATGCTTTAAAATGTGCAGATATAGGCATTCTAACAATCTGAAAAAGCACAAGCTGTCTTAATATTGGCACATTCTAAGACTAATTGAACACACACAAACTAAAAATTAACCTGAAAATCAATTAAATTTGAATTACAAGTTCACAATTTTAGAATAGAGCACACTAATTTTGATGTTTGATATTAGAATGGCTGTTTACAATACAGACTTTTATTTATAACAACTTACAATTTTTTTTTTAATTGCAAATAGCCTGAAGTTTCGGTATAGAGGCCTGTTGTTATTTCCATCTCCAACTGAGCTACCGGCTCTTTGATTACATTAGTATTTGATAATATTTTGCCGCTACCGGCTCTTTGATTACATTAGTATTTGAAGTCTCAAAGTACAAATGTCTGTTTGTTGGCTGATGTTAATGAATTTTAGCATAGTCTACCTATAATCCTAGTAATTCCCATGGTATAACAGTGTGAGAAATTGGTAGTTATCAGAGACTTTAGTTCCTCATTACATTTCATCTTTAGCTGTATTCACTGTGGAAAAGTGGTAGGTTTTGATTGCAAAATTACACTGAATATTGTGTGTCATACTTGATTTGTTTCCTCATTTTGCTGGCCTGTGTTCTTTTATTCTTAGCCATACTTTTTTTCTGCATGAAAACTTCTATACAGTAAATGCCCACTTACCCTTGGAACTGTATTTTTAAATCTATGTATGTATAAAAACAAAAATATCATTTCAATAGAAAGCTTTGAAATGCATGTGACTTCAAGTTGCAGTTATATAAACACACAAATATCATCCTGTTTATTAAAAGTACTACCATTACTGTTGGGGTTTTGAAACAATTAACCTGCAGAAATATGGTAAGTGATGTGGTATGCAAGCATTTGTATTCCATGCATTTTCTTCATTGTCTTAATATAGATTTTTTTGAAATTAATCGGTTATTCTAGGTGTGTGCAATTCCTACATAATATGTGATCAAGAAAGTTACATTGCCTTTATTCTAGTTACTGTTGTTCCTTGACATTCCTTTGAGATAACACCTAGTTTGGGTGGTATGGCTGTAAAGCCAGCTGCAACTTGTACATGGATGTAAATAGCAATATTCTCCAATGGTAGGTCAGGTGATACCTCAAGGTTACAACCTCCCTTATGTTTGAATGAGAATGACCAATCAAATGGTTAGTGCTAATTGCTCTGAGTCAGTGTGATGTTACCACTTAACAAGATAGCATAAAGTCTAGTTGTTCTGGAATAGATTCTCAACCAAGGCAGTTTAGGGAGAAAATATTTTAGGTTCTGTTGAAAGCAAAGGATCATCTTCCACAAACAAGTATGCATACATACACTGTATTTGTGAGTATTAAGTAAAGATTGCTCATTGTATTTTTGTACAGTTTTGTCTAGCCTGTGTTTCTTTCACAAACCCAGCTACTCAGATATCTCTGTTACTTTGTGATATCTTGTTCATCTTTCACAAGCCAGTACATACACACACTGTGTTTGTGAGTATTAAATATAGATTGCTGTATGTTTTACAGTTGTGTCCAGTCTCTGTTATTCAAAGATCTTGGTTACTTTATGATAAATATCTTGTTCATATTTTCCATTATATTATGGACCTATCTTGTCATTCTAAGAAAAAATCAGTTTTATTCAAGAATACTATTGTACCAATCTTTTTTTAAAATTCTTTCTTTCTGTTTTCAACAAAGCAGAAAATACTCAGTTTAAAAAATGTTCTAATCCTCCAATACATCTCTGTGAATAAAGTATAATTACTTACAATTCCATGAGCCTGGTTAATCAAGACCTTTATTAACTCTTAAAAGCAATTGTTATAAATCTATCAAAATGTGAATGCTGTCTAGTAAAAAGGGTTTGTGGTAAATACTCACATCAGAATTATGGTGCTCGTTATTTAATGAGGTATCTGAAAATGATTGTCATGAAGTTTTGTTGCTGTTCTACATCATATTGAATATTAGAATGTTTACCATTCAATTTCTACATGTCCTTATAACTTAAACATTACAAGTATCTTAACATCTATAGTGAAGGTTGGACATTCCTTTAACCATTGTTTTTCACAATTACCTGGAAAGAGTTTGCCATAGTAGATGCAGATTTAGAAACCATACTTAAACCATCAACTTCATCATAAAAATCTTTTTTAAACATAAACATTTGATTCTGTTGCAGTAGCGTATGTTAACAGAAAAAAATGTTTATAATTAACCATTTACATCTGAAGATGAAGAAACATGAATCATTAGTTTCCTAGAAAACATTTAAAGTATCATGACTGAACATCACAATTTGTTGTATATGTATCTTTATAAAATTTAAAAATCTGGTGTAAATGAGATATAAAAATCTAAACTGACTGTAATAGTCAATTCATTACTAACTTATTCTTTAAAAAGGTTTCATTAGAAAACGTGACATGCAAGTACCAATATTTGTCATTGTTGGTCTTGCAGGACACTTGAACTTATAAACTTTAGACAAATAATTTATAATCCCTGCATGAAACCCAATAGGTAAATTTCCTGATATAATATTTCCCATACTTAATTTTAAGAGGTACTTCTATAATTTAGTACTTGTATCCAACAGGTGAATTTTATGATATAATATTTCCCATACTTAATTTTAAGAGGTACTTCTGTAATTTAATACTCAGATCCAACAGGTGAATTTTATGATATAATATTTCCCATACTTAATTTTAAGAGGTACCTCTGTAATTTAGTACTTGTACCCAACAGGTGAATTTTATGATATAATATTTCCCATACTTAATTATAAGAGGTACTTCTGTAATTTAGTACTTGTACCCAACAGGTGAATTTTATGATATAATATTTCCCATACTTAATTTTAAGAGGTACTTCTGTAATTTAGTACTTGTACCCAACAGGTGAATTTTATGATATAATATTTCCCATACTTAAATTTAAGAGGTACTTCTGTAATTTAGTACTTGTACCCAACAGGTGAATTTTATGATATAATATTTCCCGTACTTAATTTTAAGAGGTATTTCTGTAATTTAGTACTTGGATCCAACAGGTGAATTAACTCTCTCCCTACAGGCTTGGTTCATTAAACTGACTTTGTGAATCCAAATTGATCTTTAGAGGTTCCACACTATAACTTTTAATATGTTTTGTACTTCTTCATGATATTTTGCAAGCTTTCAGTAAACATTAAAAGTATTTTATATATATACAGAAAAAAATCAGAATTTTTAATTAAGTATTTTTTATTAAAAATTTTTCCAGGAATATATGGAAACCAAGTGTTGACTGCTTTGAGTGAAAAGTAATTTTCATGTTAAAATTAAAGATACTTTTCTTCACCTGAATATTGTCAAATTTCATTTGTGTAATCTCTAAAACTTCCTGAATAAATTTCAAATGTATTTTTTCAGTAAAACTTTATATTTTATCTATTATTTTTCCTACCCTAACTCTATACACATTTGATAAATTTGACTGACCTTGTAACCAACATAAAAAAATGTGAAATCAATCTAAATTATCTTTTGTCCTCTCGTGAATTACAGCAAATTGTAACAGGAAAATACATCTGTAAGCTCATAATAGTATCTGTTTCTACTTAAATTTTATTGTTTTATTTCCCTTTGAATGTGTCCAACTAATTATCCCACTAAACAAGTTGTATGGCACTCAGCAAATACATAGATCTCGTTACCCTATCGAATTACATTACACATGAGCTGATTGTGAGTATTCCTCATGAATATTTTATTTTTATTTGACCTAATGTAACCTTATCTAAGCTAATACATTTCTATTTTTTACATTTTAGTTACTTTTATGATTTAAAAAAAAATATGCAAGAAAAACTAGGGTCCTTCTTTTTTTTGCTGTTGACTGTTGCTGAAACTTAACCCTACTTTTTATACTAATGGTACTACTACACTAAATTTTTGATTTAATTAAATAATGCACTTAAGAACACAGAATAATGTGTAAAAAAAGAAGCGGACGATGTCCTATAACTATTATATTTTGGGCTTTCTAACTGTGGGATAAGTGCTGTTAAAAACTCAGCTAAGGTCATTGATATGTTTCCTATGGGAATAAAGTAGTGAAATAAACACTTTTCTTTACGGAAAACAATGTAATATGATACGTCATTTGATAGATTGAAACTTTGGCTTTCTCTTGGTTATTAATGATGTACTGTTAAATGTCAGAGAGAACTATTGGCAATTTGTGAAAGTGATTCTGATTTTCTAGTCTATGGCTCTGTAAACAAAGAAGATTGGAGGCTATGAAAATGTTGCAATGTCTGAGTAATAATTATATTAAGAAGAGTAATTTATATTAAATTCTGTACTTCTTGGGGGTGGGGTAAATAAATTAGAGAAGAGGGAGAACTATAAAGCAAATGTCATAATTCCCATTCTAAGGGATATTGAGGATTTATTAAATATTGACTTATAAAATTAAGAACTTACAACTTGTATAAAGATTCAATTTATTAACTACATTTTGATGCCAAGTTTATTTGTATATCATAATAATAAAGTAGTTTAATTAAATGTTCAATGTAACTCTCCACAAAGTTGTAACATGTACACTTTGACCTGATGTAATATTTCACTTACTTAACCATGAGAGAGATTTTTGTAATTAACTACTTTCCTTATGATAGTTGGATCCGTATTTACTGTACCAAATTTAAAGGAAATTCATATTTACTTCAGTAATGTAACCACTAGCAACTCTGTTTTTCTCAGATATTTCATGTCTAAATAAAGTATACAGATCAGGTTAAACTTTGATTTAAATTATCTTAGTGATAAGCAGTTGAAAACCATTGATAGTTAGATAATGTCTGTAGTAATATTT